GAGTCGGGCCCAGGGGGGCACGGCTCGCTTGGGCTATATGTGGATCCCTCGCGGCTCGGTATCCCTCCTGCTAGGGTTTCCTGCTTCTGCCGCCGACTTGCGCCGCTATCGTCTTCCCATCCGTCGCATCATCAGATCCCCCCCACCTCCACCCCTCCTTCTTCCTTTTGCTGCGGTGATCTCCATGGACAAGTCTAGGGGTTCCTCTTGCGAGGCGCTTTCTGGTAGCAAGCGGCGCCGCGAGGACTCCCCCGCCTCCGTGTTGGATTTGGAGCTTGAGGCCTCGCTACGCTCCAGGCTGGAGTCGGAGCATGCGGCACGCGAGCAGGCGGCTCGTGCCCGCGAGGCCTGGGCTTCGGGTCCGGAGCGGGAGCAGCACCCGGTGAAGGAGGGGGTGACTGGATCTAGCCTGCAGGGCTCTGGGTCTGGTCCCTCTCCTTCCCCGGTGTTGGATCCGTGGGAGGCGGCGGTGGCTTCTGGCGGTGGGGTGTCTTCGTCCTCGGCTTCCCTCCCGGCTCCGGGTGTGGGGCGTGGCCCGTCGGCCCCGTCCCGGCCCCTACCTCCCCCTCCTCCTCGCTCTTTTGGGGCTGGACCTGGCTTTCGTCCGCCGCCTCGATCCTTCGCGGGGCCGGCGCGTCGGCCGCCTGGTCCGGCTCCTGGGGATGGGATCCTTCCTCCTTCCCCGTCGCAGCAACAATCCCGCCCCTCCTCCTCCTCCCACAACAACCCCTCAGCGCTTACTTGCTTCGCTTGCCACAGACCGGGCCACTTTCAGTCTCAATGCACCAATCCACCATTCTGCTTGATTTGTCGCTCTGATGGTCACCTCACGGTTAACTGCATGGATAGGCAGAAACCTCCCGCGGTCATCCAGTTTGGTCTGGGTCTTCCTGGCTGCTCCTTCTTCGCCTTCGATGGTGACCTGCCTGTTCGGGAGGTGGCTCCTACGCTGTCCAACGCGGCTATTGTCTCTGTCAAAGACCAAAAGATCTCCCCCCAAACTCTGCTGGAAGGGCTTCGCATCTGGGATGTGGCTGGTTGGGACTGGCAAGTTGTGCAGCTGTCAGATTTTGACTTCTCTGTGGTGTTCCCCTCCAAAGATTGCCTGCGAATGATCGCTTCCTGCACCAGCTTCACCTTACCTCTTAATCAACTGGTGGTTTCTGTCAAAGCGGCTGCATCCAACGGCACTGCAGTTGGTCCTCTGTCTCAAGTGTGGGTGTTGATTGATGATTTACCTACTAGTCTGCGCTCGTCTGCTTTCCTCATGTCCTTTGGGGTTTTGATTGGGAAACCCATTGAGGTGGATGAGGAGTCTTTGAACAAGGTTGATCCTGCTCGGATGAAGGTCTGGTGTGTTGTTCCTGATCGGGTGCATGGCTTCATTGATGTCTATCCCTCTCCCAATGGCATCAGGTTGCGGGTGCGGGTGGAGGGGGCGGCGGCGGCTTTCCATGCTCCACCTCCCCCCCCTACTCCTGCTAATC